ATATTATATTATATTATATATATATATATATATATGCATTTTTTTTCATTCTTACTTTTATTCATACCAATAATCCTGAAAAGAATGCATCACAGTTCCCACAAAAATATGAAGCGAGACAGCTGTTTTCAACATTAATAACAATTATAATAATAAGAAGAAATGCTTCTTGAGTTGAAGACTGGAGACTGGAGTAATGGCTGCTGAAAATTCTGCTTTGCCATCACAGGAATAAGTTAAATTTATTAAAATAAAAAGCAGCAGTTGTTTTAAGTTGTAATAATATTTCACATTCCTGTTTTTGGTGAGCATAAGAAACTTCTTTAAAAAACATTAAAAAATCTTATCCTCATTCCTCCTTATTTAGTGCCTTTTAAACTGAATTGCAGTTCTGGGAATTCTAATGTTTTAAGGTGTTTCATTTGTTTCTTGTGCTATGGCAGGTTTTTGAAGAGGACTGGGCTCTGTGTGCTCCTGACTCTGGCTGTCCGTCTGAGAGTATGCTGGAGGATGAGTGCATGGCGCCTCAGTCTCAGGCCGGTCTTCCTCAGTCCAGTCAAGATCACCTGGTTCTGGAGTGGGACCCTTCAGTGGACATTGGTGGTTCAATCTCCCATGATGACACGGACTCGTCCTCCTTCAGTGCAGCTGCAGGTAGGGGTTGCCTAATACAGTCCAATGGTTCCTCCAAGATCATGAAATTTTATTTGGTGATTAATTGACTTGTGAATAATTGTGATTCAGTGATTTACTTTGTAAGCTTGAGACAAACTTTGAAGTTGTTTTTAACATTAAACTTAAAATCATACATTGAAATGTATAGCAGTGTTATTTTAGTATTATTTATATACTATTTATTATTCTGAGTTGGCTTTTAGTTTTCTGTTTTCATTTTAAATTTAGTTTGAGTTTGTCCTTTTGCAGTTTTGTCATTTATTTATTTGTATTCCTATATAGCCTTTAATATATTTTCAGTTTTAGTTACAGTACTTTTAGTAAAAAAAAATTAGAATTAGAAATATTGCCTTGTTTTCCGTTTACTATTTCTATTTTATTTCAGTTTTATTTCAATTACCAACTTTTTTTTTTTTAAGAGGTCCACATCATTTTTTGGAAAGCTAGACAATGTAAATGTTCGATTGTAGTAATATTGATTCATTTTTGTTGTTTGCTGTTTATGTATTGTTGTTATCTGTTATTTCTGATGCTATGAATATTAGAATATTATACAATAGTAATATATTTCTGTCCTGAATTCATCACTTTCCACACAACATTTCAAGTGAATATTAAAATAAAGTGAAACTGGAGCATTTTGCATTCACTATGCATATTAACACCTTGTTTATGCTTTCGTGTGCATGTGGTGTGAACCACCGCAGGTGCTGCAGAGGCATTTATGCTTCACGTGTGAATTACAATCAGGTGATTATGTAATAATTATGACCCCAAATGAGGACTGATGAGTTTTAGGCATTTCATAGCCCTTTATTCTTTGTGATTGCTATACATTTCTAGCAGGTCTCTAAAACACAGAAACTGTAACTTTTACCCATCAGGAGCATTAACGTTTTCTTTCATCCTTTCAGGTGTGCTTTGCACAGGTGAACCAGCCAAATATCCTCTGAGGAGGAGAGTCTACATGAGTCCTGTGGACTCGCAACCAGACAATGCTGCTGTCAGCGTAAAGCAGCCAGTAAGTCCATCTGACAGCTCATACTTCATCTTGTCCTTATTACATTATGGACCAAGAAACCACAGTCCATTATATAATGTGTAGTATAGTGTATTTGCGTACATTTTCCATACAGCAACAAAATGTAATTGAAATGCAAATGACGGGATTGCATGGCATTTTTTTTTTGGGCTTCCAACTGAAAAGATCACAATGTGGTCTCTGTTTTTGTATGTGTGCATAGACTTAAGCACACGTGTGCCTGCACATGTTGTAGCATGCAGGGTATGTAACATGCAAATAGACGGTTACAGGTTTGTGTTAGTTGGGGTGTTTTTTCTGTATTGAACACAGCTGGCCTCAGATTTAACTTGAACACAAATTAACCACTATTAAATTATTAACCATTATTAAAGTGCATTAAAGCAGGGGTTTTCAAACTAGGGTCCAGGACCCCAAGGGGTGCGCAAGGGAATTCTATGGGGTCCTTGGAAAAATGTGTAAAACTGTAAACAATAAATAAATAAATAAGATTAAACAAAATAAATACATGATTCAAATAAATAAATAAATGGAAATAAACAAAATCTAACATTACTGTAATAGTATTATAGTGAGTAGAAGAAAAATTAAAAAGAAAAAAAAAAATGGTGAGTAGAAGAAAAAAATTTAATTATGTAACAATGTTAAATATTTTCCAATAAAATAATACAATTCATCAAATGAATATTATAAATGTTATAAATATTGTAAATGTTATTATAACATTATAAAATATATTTATGTATATAAATTGAGTCTTTAGACATCTATACAAATCAGTGGAAAAAAACACTAAAAATTTAGAGTAAAACTGTAAAAAACACTTAAATACATTAAATAAAGAAATTTTAATAAAAAACAGTACAGTACTATAGTAAGTAGACATAAATGTAACAATGTAACACAAAAGAAATTAAATATTTTCCAAATCATAATTTAAATATTTATAATATACATTTATTTATTTGTTTGTTTGTTTTTTTAAATTGCATGATTTTGATATGCATGAAAATAAATAGTTGCCTTTTAAATTTTAGGATGAGGTCCCTTGCACAAGGATGATCATATTTGGGGGTCCGTGGGATCTCAAAGATTGATATCCCTACATTACATTCAGATGCATTTATTTTGAAAGTAATGTACTTTATAGAAGCAAACCTTGATGCTATAAATGAGCATGCATGTGTGTATTTCTGTAATGTAGGTGAATGCTAAATGTAGTTGCTGTGTTTTTCAGGGCATCAAGAAGAGCTTAGAGTATGCGGCCCCACCCCAGACGCCAGTGCCAGGTAAAGCCGTGGCTCCTGATTGGTCCGTGTGACTGGTGCCATCCACTGAGGGCAGTGTCCCTCTCACAGCTTAATCACTCGATAATCATGGAAGAGCTGCTCTCATCATGGAAGAGCTGCTCTCAATTTGGCTTGTTTTCTAATATCCTTGAAAAATAGCCAAGAGCCACCAAAACCTCAATTATGAGGTTCATGATGGGCAAATATCTCAACTTTTCAGCCTTTCTATTGTGATTTAGCCCATTCAAAGCAGTAACTAGTTTTCAAATATTATATCTGGCACTTAAATCCAGGAATTAGACCATTTTTTTAATGGTGTACATCTTGTCTAATCCGCATTTAACCTCAGGAATTTTTTTCACAGCATAGTCCTGATTTGTTTATGCTAAGAGACTTTGCATAATATCTGTTTTGCATGTATGTGTTGTGGATACAGTCATCAGAGCTGGCGAGCCTCAGTACGCCGGACCATTTAAGACTTCCACACCTGAAACTAGGTCTCCTGAGCCTGTGACCTTCGACCCTGAGCGCATCAGCGCTTGGCTGGGCCAGACGCATCAACTTTGTTCTAAAGCCGTCCAGACGGAGCATGATCCACAGGTATATTTATTTGCTCACAGTTTGAATGTTTTTCCTACAACCCAGTTTTTCTGGGCCCTTTGATTAGGGAGGCCTCAATAAGGTCCTATATTATACACTACCATTCAAAATATTGGGCTCAGTGAGATTTTTTGTTTGCTTGAAAGAGATTAATGTTTTTTTTTTCAGTCATATTTTTATTTGATCAATGCATTAAACTGATCAATTATAATAATGTTTTCTACAAATAAAACTAACATTTCAAATAAATACTGTTCTTTTGAACTCTCTATTCTATATAGAAAAAAGTTTTACTGTTTCCACAAAAATATTAAGTAGCACAACTGTATTCAGCATTGATAATAACAAATGTTTTATGAGCAGCAAATCAGCATATTAGAATGATTTCTGAAGGATCATGTGACACTGAAGACTGGAGTCATGATGCCATCACAGGAACAGATGACATTTAAAAATATATTAAAACTGAAAATATAAGCATTTTTACTGTATTTTTATCAAATAAATGCAGCCTTGGTGAGCAAAAAAAAAAAAAAGTCTTTCAAAAACATTAAAAAGTCTTTTGAATGGTAGTGTATATAAATGTTTAAACTGCTCCATGAGTGATGCTACTCATTACACTGTCTGTCAAAAATGGTTTAATGGCTCTTGTAGATTGCTTTTGACATTAGCTTGATGTCAATATTATTGAATTTTTGGATTCAAAGTAACTGTGTTAATACCAGAGGTACATCAGTGTCACTTACTTAGAGGCAATAAATGGCCAGCTGCTGCTGCCTGTATGTTTATAATGAATTACAGCTCATAAAATCATTAGACATTCAAATAGATTTAGACGCCATTTATATAGCCATTAATTATAAATAATTATAGAAAATCATTGAACTTTTCATCAATGGAACAGTCTCACTAAATGTCAAGATGGAAAAGGATTTTATACATTTCATGTGACTTGAGTTTTAGCTATTGATGTTTAATAGGTAAATATTCCTATATGAATTATCTTCCAGCGAATTATGAAAGACTGAGACTGCAAAATACACTGCTTTAATTTATAACCTGGAAATAAGCTTATGCTGATAATATAATTTTAAATGGGTAGAAATAATCAAATAAATGGTGTTAAATCACAAATGCACTAGTGGGCTTTTGGGACCTCACTGTATGTTCTTCTACACTGCACTGCATCTACAATCGTCTTCATAACTTGCTGATTTTGTTCTGGATTTGATTTCTGCTTCATCGTGCAGTCATAAATGCAGAATGGATGCTCGGTGCAGTTGTGCATGGAGACATTTTTGTCAAATCTCATTCAGACTAGACTGCAGTTGCAGTCTGTGCACATTATAACAATCTCTCCTCTGTTATGGTCATCATGCTGCTTTTCTGCCATTAATAGTTGTCACATTGACTTGCTGAAGACCTGTTTACGGCCTCAGTGTGCTGTTCATATCTATATTCATAAATCCATCATATTTATCAATATTTCTGAGGGTAAAAGCTTATTTTAGAGACATCATAAAAAGAAATGTTTACAAGGAATATGAAGCACATATTACTCAGCCGTGCTAATTAATCCATCTCAAATGAATCTGTAGCATCTTGACTTAAAAGGCTCAGTGCTTCTTTCCGAGACAGGAGGTGCGATGTTGGTTTCTGGGAAAGCGAATCCTCTGCACTGATGCAGAGGCCGATTTGCTTGCCGAAGCCTTGGAAAAATCTCGATGAAAGAGAGAGAGAGAGACCATTTCCATTTCAAAAAGCCTCTTGTAATTTCTCCGCTCTCATGGCTAATTGGCAGCTTTACAGGGATGGGGAAAAAGACCCGCCACTCTAACAAGGCTCTATAATGGCTGCCGTAATTATGGGCACAAACATAGTGAGGAACTGGCACTGCGAAAGGGCCAAGAGCGTCTGTGTAATGTGTCACACGAAAAGGTGGACGAGGCAGCGAATCTGTTGGTCCCATTAAAGGACTCAAAGAATGAGAGCAAAACGGAGAGCACAAAAAGACAGAGCCGCCTTGAACCTTATTAGTTAATGGAGCCCGTCTCTTTCGATTTACAAGCGCCTTTTGTAGCATAGCAAAGCTGTCACATGTAGTGAGAACTCTGCTGTCCACTCTTTGGCAATCGAAAGTGTTTGTTGCTTCTGTGAATCTTTATAGCTGCGCTCCACTTTTTTTATCTCTGCCATCCGGAAAGGAGGAGGGAGTTGAGTATCAAGAGGATGTGCTCCCCCAGAGACGCCCCCACCCACAGCGAGCTCCGCACACGTGCTCCACCCCCCGCCCATCCCCGTCATGTGACCTCCAGCATCACTCTTACCAACGTGACGAAGACCCACAGGTATATCTTGCTCGCACAGACACGTACGCCCCTTCTGCACAAACACCCTCACACGGTCGCTTCATTTGTGTTACAAACACCATAACTGCTTTTCTGATCACCTGGGGTTTGCAAATTAAAGCCAGACCTGTTAATGTGTAGCAAATGTGTTGCCTTGCATGATTTTTATGATGTGCTTTACACCTCAACACACCCCACACATAATTGCACTTGTAATGTGCGCCGGTGCCAAAGACGTGGTAAACAATAGAATCCCTGCAGGGCTTTGTTAATCTCAAGCTATTATCATCTTGTCCCTCTCTGTCACTAGAGGCAGCAGGAGAGACTTTGTTTCCCTGACTCTTTGGAGGACAACACCCGTGCAAAGTCGAGTTGGTGAGAAAGTGTTTTCCTATGCAGACTTAATTGAATTTGATAAATAAGCTTGTTGATTTATTATGGTAGGCATTGTGTATTTTCTTGTGCTAAATTGCACCTTGACTAATTTTTCTTTTCTGTGATGGAAAAACAGTCATTAGAAATGTAGTAGCATTCAAAAGTTTTTTTTTTTTTTTTATAATTATTAACTTTATTCAACAATGGTGCATTAAATTGATCGGATGTGACCGCAAAGACATTTATAATGTTACAAAAGATTTTTTTCAAATAAATGGTGTTCTTTTGAACTTTCTATTCGTCAAATAATATTTTTCCACAAAAATACTAAGCAGCACAACTGTTTTTATCATTGATAATAAGAAGAAATGTTTTTTGAGCAGCAAATCAGCATATTAGAATGATTTCTGAAGGATCATGTGACACTGAAGACTGGAGTAACGATGCTGAAAAATTCAGCTTTGCATCACAGAAATAAATTAGATTTTAAAATTTATTCAAATAAAAAATGGTTATTTTAAATTGTAATAATATTTCACAATTTTACTGTTTTTACTGTATTTTTGCAGTCTTGGTGAGCATAATATACTTTAAAAGACACTGAAAAATCTTAACCCCAAACTTTTGAACTGTAGTATTTTGTCTGTATTGTAGCTTGACGTATTACAAAAATGCAGTGTATAAATCTAAAGGGATAATTCAAAAATAAAAATTCACATAATTTACTCATTCTCATGTCTTTTCAAACCTGTATGACATTTATTTCTTCAGCAGAACACATATTTTGAAACAAAAAAGTTCTTTTTTTTTCTCTATACAATGAAAGTTAATGGGGTTCAGTGTTGTTTTGTACATGTTAATGATATACTCAAGATTCTTACCCTTGATTTGGGCAGTGTCCAAAGAAGGCACATTTAAGGTCTATTGGACTGCAAAAATGCAATGAGAATCATTTGACAAAGTGAAGTCATATGCTTCCCTGACCAGTGAGGCCACTTTTGTCCCAGGAATCAATTTAAATGGACTTAAACATGAAGCAAGGACACAGATATTAGTTTTGACTTTAAATCTTGCTTAAAGTTATTTTCACATTACTATGAGTGAATACTGTTCACAGCACAGTTTCTTTAAGGTCAGCCTTGGCTCGTAGAAATGTTTTAAAGCAGTTCTACCTCACCAATGCATACCAAACTTAAATTGTGCAAATTAAATTTGATTTATGCCAAGGATGTCCAATCCTGCCACTATCCTGCAGAGTTTAGCTCCGATCCTAATTAAACACACCTTAACCAGCTAATCAAGGCCTTCTGGATTACTAGAAACTTCTAGGCAAGTGCTTTAGGTCAGGATGGAGCTAAACTCTGCAGGCTTTTGCCAACTACTACTATAGAAGTGACCTGTAAGCAATCTGTTACTTCAGAAAAATGGCCTTTTATCATGATGTATTTCTGTTTCCAGTGACCTGTGTGGACCGAAGGCTTCTGGTAGCAGCTTAAGGCACAGTGTCACCTGGCTTTTGGGGCCCCTGAGGTTTTTCAATGTACGAAAGGCCTCAGCACCACTGCTTGTTCTCCTATTTGCCCTCCTGCTTGCTGTGGTGATCTGGCCTCTCATCTTGCTCCACGATACCTCGTGCCATCGGTCCAATACCCTGACCCGCTCATTTCACCTGGGCCTACGTTACAAAGGACCCCCTCCCACCTGAGGAAGCAAGAAGTAACGGCAAACAGTTTAGTAAGCACACATGGAATTGTTTTCAAGGTTTCTCGTAACATTTCTATGAAAGCATGTGTCACCTAATATAACAAGTGCACTTAATTCTACTCTGACACCAACTTTCTCACAATATCAGAGTGAATCGTATAAAACTGAAATGAGTTGACAGCTCTGGAAGCATCTCTATTTAAAACTGCCTTGTTGAGCATGTTTACTTGAATTTTCGACTGACAGATTAAGGATTTTTTGGCCAACCAATTATTTATAGGTTTGTTAAATTTAAAAGCAGATTGTTTATGAATGAAAGGTGTGTGTGTGTGTGTGTGTGTGTGTGTGTGTGTGTGTGTGTGCAGGCTTTAAGATTTTGTTTGTTTGTTTAAAAAATATTGCTGCAAATTTTGTAGAGTTAAAAATAATTTTGGACTGAGAGAGAATACACATGAACATTTCATACTGTGTCGCAATATTTGATCAAGAACCACTGTATTGTATACTGTAATCACTGTAACTTTTTTTTTTTAAAGAAAGGGCATTCTGCACTGTATTTAATAGATTGCATCAGTCCAATGAAGAAGACACACAAGCGAGCTTTAAAGCAAATCATTGTGCTCATCAAGGAACGGTTTTGCACTGTTATCCACTTTTTATGACTTGTAAAATAAAAGAGATGAGTGAAAACAAGTGGCTGGCTCTGAATGGTGACATTGGAATGCGTGTGGAGTGATACGCCGTGTGATTCTCATTGGGGGGTTTCTCTGTGTATCTGGCTTGCTGGACATGCTGAAAGAGGTTTTTGTGCTCCTGCCAGAGACGAACACTCAAAAAGATTATGAAAGAATGTTTCAAATTCAATTAGCACACAAATGATCTTCTCTGGAAATGTCTGCAGATGGCTTTTCAACCTCATCTTGATCCATTCGTAGCTCTTGGGAGTTGAACTATAGTCAACACTGCAGAAAATGAAGTGTTGTGTGCATGGGTAAGCAAGCCTGCCTTTGTATGATGATGAGTTTATATACTTGGCAAAAACAGAGCCTCAAATTGAACCATATACCTCTGCAAGCCTAGAGCCTATAAACCGAAAGCAAATAAATTCTGGTATCCACCTGAGGACATGAAAAAACAGGGAGGATTTCTGTGGCAATAAAACATTTAGAGGAAATACACTTTTCTGAACTCTGCCAAGGTGCTGAAGGTCAGTGCTGCTGTTACAATAATTGGTGATATTAAGAGCATTTGGATTGGGCGGAAAAGGATCATGAGGTAATAGTTGCTATGAAAGAATGCAGAGGAGATGGTTTTTATAATAAAACATGCATATGAATTTATCTGGGCTGCATAACTTGCGTGATGTTGAACCAAATGTGACTTTTAAAAAAAAAAAAAATGTAATGAGTGTGAATGCATTATTTTGGCTTCTAACTCACACACTTAAATGTGGCATTACAAGTTGACAGGGCAGATGTGTATCAGAAAATGCCAAAAATGTGAGTTGGGACAATCTGACTCTGAACATCAGGCAGCATCACTAACTGTTTTGCGATGGTTACTTAGAATTAATATGATGCCATTGACCACGACAGGCCTTGCTTATGTCAGGGGAATTGTCACGCTTGAGAACAGAAAGAGCATTCTGTTTGTGCACCATTCAGCTGAAATGTGGACGAAGACCTAACAATTTGCACTCCACTGCTTTTCATAATGTTAGTAACACCATATCACATAATTATATTTATATATATATGACTAAAATTATAATGTATTAAATATGTGTTAAAAGTAAATAGTAGTAAAATACAGAAATATTTTAGAGGGAGCACTATATATATATATATATATATATATATATATATATATACACACACACACATACACTCTCA